AGAACATAGCCTGAGGAACTGACAAAGGACGGTTTAAAACCATCCCTTCTTGATAATTTAAATATATAGGTCAACTCTAAAGAATCAGTGTGATTTAGTAAAACTGGCCAAGCACAAGCCAACTCAGGAAAGAAAGTGAAGCCATTATTAGCAACCCTAACAAAATACGAGGAAAATGAAGAGCAACTACACCAAAAGGAAATCAACTGCCTGTTCATAGTGGAGGTGAGGGAGAGTACTCTGGAATGCAGGTGATTTCTCAGGGTGTCTCCAGCATGTCCAAACCCTTGATTAAATCAGTGGAAAACAAACACCACAATTCAGGTGACACTAATGGCACAGGTCCTGTAGGAAGGAAGATTTGAGTCATCTCACCAGATCAAGAGCCATGGGTGCTTGCTGAGGGCAAAGAGATATGGAATGTGATATCAGCAAGGATCATGTGACCATTTGCAGAAACTAGTTGTTATGAGTATTTCTTCCTCATTTTGTTAAGAATGTATGTATGTCTAGGGCATCAGGGAGAAGCATGAACATCACCCATGGACTTTGCATCCTCTCCTGGGAAAAGGGTTAGTGCATTTTCATATACTCAGGATGGTTCTATCATCTTAGATGGAAATATGACTTCATTATTGTGTTTATTTATATATTATGTATTAAAGAGATGTGTATGGATGCAGAATTGACAAGTAATGGACTGTCATGGTCAATTTTATGTGTCAACTGAGATAAGTTATGGTGTCCAACTGTTTGCTCAGATGTTCTCTAGATGTTGCTGTAAGGGTATTTTGTAAATGTGATCAATATTTACAATCCATTTACTTTAAGTAAAGGAGAGATTACCCTGGATATGAGTGGACATAACCTGGTCACTTGAAGGCCTTCGGAGCAAAACCTCGAGGTATCCTGGAGGAGTTCTGCCTTAAGACTGCCACATACAAATCCTGCCTGCATTTCCAAGCCTGCCCACATACACTGCAGACTGCAAACTGTAAACCTTAACTTCAACACCTGCTTGGGTCTCCATGCCTTGAATCTGCCTTACAGATTTCAAACTTACCAGACCCCAATCCTGGTATCAAAATCTGTACTAGTTTCCTGGGACTGCCATTACAAAGTAGCACGTGTTTCACTTACAACAACAGAAATGTATTCTCTCACAGTTCTGGAGCCCAGAAGTCCAAAATCAAGGTGTCAACAGGGCTCACTGTATCTGAGGGTTCTGAGGTAGTCTATCTCCATGTCCTGGTTTCTCATGGATTCTGGCAATCTTTGACATTCCTTCACTTGTAGATGCATCACTCCCTCCAATCTCTGCCTCCAGAGATTTTTGTCTCTGCACCTTAACACGACCACCTTCTCCCTGTACACCTCTCTCTCATCTTCTCATAAGACACCAGTGATTTTGGATCAAGGATACTCCAGTTCGTGGAGGGTATTATGCCGAGTGAAGTAAGTCAATCAGAGAAGGACAAATATTATATGTTCTCATTCATTTGGGGAATATAAATAATAGTGAAAGGGAATATAAGGGAAGGGAGAAGAAATGTGTGGGAAATATCAGAAAGGGAGACAGAACATGAAGACTCCTAACTCTGGGAAATGAACTAGGGGTGGTGGAAGGGGAGGAGGGCGGGGGGTGGGGGTGAATGGGTGACGGGCACTGAGGGGGGCACTTGACGGGATGAGCACTGGGTGTTATTCTGTATGTTGGCAAATTGAACACCAATAAAAAATTAATTTATTATAAAAAAAGGATACTCTAGTTCGACCTCATTTTAACTTTACATCTGCAATGACCTTATTTCCAATTCTTAGGTATTGGAAGAAAGATTTTAAACATCTGTTGGGGGGGGGACACAATTCAAACCATCACAGATGGTAATACTCCCCAAGTTGATCTACAAATTCATTGCAGGCCTAATCAAAATTTCAGCTTGGTTTTCTTAGAAATTTACAAGCTGACCTTAAAATTCATATGAAAAAGGACTCAGAATAGACAAAACAGTCTTGAAAAAGAAAAACAAAGTGGGAGGACTTAATTTTGTGATGACAAACTTATTACAAAACTACTATAGTTGAAGCAGTGTGGAACTTGCATAAGAATCTAAATACACATCAATAGAACAGAATCAAGTGTCCAGAAATAAACTCTTACATTTATGGCCGATTGTTTTTTGACAGGGTTCCAAGAGAATCAATGGAAAAAAAATAGTCTTTTCAATAAATGGTGCTGAGGCAACTGTATATCCACATGCAAAATAATGAATCTGGACCTTACCTCACACCATACTCCAATTTAACTCAAAATGGATTACAGGCCTACATATGAGCTAAAATTATAAAACACTTAGAAGAAAACATAGGAGTAACTTTTAATGACCTTGGGTTAAGTAGTGACTTCTTAGATATGACACTGAAAGTACAAATGTCAAAATAAATTGGGCTTCTTTAAAGTTAAAAATCTTGTGTGTCATAGAACACATTCAAAAAGGTGAAAAGACAGCCAACCTACTGTGAGAAAGTATTTGCAGATCATAGATCTGATGATACCAGTACCAAGAATATACAAAGAGCTCTTAGAACACAATAACTAAAAAATAATCAATGTGAAGCTATCACAAATGGATGAAAATTCAGTAAAGTAGCATACAAATAGACAATGGCCTTCATAAATCAAACAGTAGCTAGTTAGAAGCTGCCAACATCAGGAACAGAAGAGGGTCATTACTACAGGCATTGAAATGATAATAAGTGAATATTTTCTAACAACTTTACAGCCATAAGTTAATAACTCAAGTGAAATGGACAATTTCTTTGAAAGGTACAAAGTACCAAAACTCCCTCAAAAAGAAACCAATAGCCTAAACAGTCCCATAAGTACTAGAGAGGTTAAATTCATAGTTTAAAACTCTCAGAACAGAAATTTTGAGGCCCAGTCAGTTTTACTGGCCATCACATGGATGGATCTCAAATGCATTCTGCTAAGTAAGGGAACCTATAATTACAAGACTGGATATGACATTCTGGGAAAGGCAAACGATGTGGGTGGAAATCTAGAAGAGTTGTTCCAAGGCATTATGGGAAGAAGGACTCTAATGGGGCTCAAAGGAACTGGGAAGACAGTGGAACTCTTCTATGGCTTGATTGTGGTGGCAACATGACTGCAAGCATTTGTCAAAACTTTCATGACTGGATCAATTTTACTGTGTATAAATTATATCTTAGTAAAAAAAAAGGTTTTGATCAGGTGGATGGCAGATCTATAAGTAATACCTGACCTAACAGAAAGTGGAAAACATCCTGATCTACAATAAAGAATCCTCAACAAGAAGCAGTGTGTCTAGATGTGACTGTGGAAGGAAATGGCAAACCCAGGAATGTCGGGCAGTAACTGAGAAGCAGCCACATCCCTAAGTCTTCACCCCACTCCATACCTCTGGGCTAATGGGCCTCATGGACTATTGCAGAAATCTGGAGTTCTGTTTTCTTTCAGAGTAACACAGGCAATCCACAATTTAGGGCCCTGGATGCTAAAATTCGGTTAGGAGATGATATATATACTTAATGCGGAATGTTAAGATACAACAACCTCTACTTGAGCTGTCAGAACCTGCGTAAGATCCCTGACATTCAGGAAGGAACTTGGGGTCATCTGGAGAAGCGGACAAGCTTAGAGGAATGTCCTGAAGGTAGTGACATCAGTTGCTCCCATGACTCACCCAGCACTGCCCACACCCCAGAGTTTCCAATCACTTTTCACTCCAGCAGTCTTAATTTCAGTTGGAAGACAAAAGAATAGCAGACATCAAAGGAAAGCCTCAAACACAGAAATTAAACACCAAATCCATCAAGTGAAAATAGCAGTTTGGAAGAAACCAACTCAGCTGGGAGAAGTTCCTTCAGGTTCAGACAAGAATGATGAACACATTGCATTCTGTTCCTGCCACTACTCACCACAACACGAGTCACATCACAGGACTGTGCAGAGTAGACACATAGACTAGACAGGCACCACAGGATTTGAACAACCGCCCCTTGGGGAGCTCCCTGGGCTGTTCCTTCCTACCATGTGTCCAAGCTGGGTGTAGAAGCCTGCAACCAGAAACACCAACACACGCAATAGCCTGCACTAAAGCCACAGGAAAGAGTGGCCCAACGCGATGGAAACCTTCTAACCATCTTGTCTATTCTCGAGGCAAACATGAGACTCGCTGCACCCTCTGTCTCCCAGCAGGTGCTGCAGACGCTGAGTGCACCCATAGAAGGTCAACTTTCAGCCTCACCCCACGGGACAGCAGTCCCTGGGGAGCCTGCAGACCAAGACATCTCAACGTCAGCCTTATCGACATTTGGATCTGGAAGGGCGACCTGAGAATGATAGGATGTTTCGCAGCATCCCTGAACAACCCACTGGATGCCAGCATCACACGCCCACAACGGTGATCAACAGTGTATCCAGACATGCCCAAATGTGCCCCAGGAATGTCACTCCTGGTTGAGAAGCTATGGTTGCACACCCTCCGGCAGGAAGGCAGGAAGGACCCTCGGGAAGCTGCACATGGCGAGGCCGGAGCAGGAGCAGGAGCAGGAGCAGCAGCAGGAGCAGGAACAGGAGCAGGAGCAGGAGCAGCAGCAGGAGCAGCAGCAGCAGGAGCAGGAGCAGGAGCACAGCAGAGCAGGAGCAGGAGCAGCAGCAGGAGCAGGAGCAGGAGCAGCAGCAGCAGGAGCAGGAGCAGGAGCACAGCAGGAGCAGGAGCAGGAGCAGCAGCAGGAGCAGCAGCAGCAGGAGCAGGAGCAGGAGCAGGAGCAGCAGCAGGAGCAGAGCAGAGCAGGAGCAGCAGCAGCAGCAGCAGCAGCAGGAGCAGCAGCAGCAGCAGCAGCAGCAGGAGCAGCAGCAGGAGCAGGAGCAGCAGCAGCAGCAGCAGCAGCAGCAGGAGCAGCAGCAGGAGCAGGAGGCACTCCTTCCCATCCCAAGCCTCCGCTCAGGAGACCCGATGGCGTCCTGTCGTCTGGGAAACAAGCGGACAGGCCAGAATAGCCCTGCTGTGGGAACCACAACCCACGCAAGTGAGCCAGGGCGTGCATTCTAAGGGACCCCTGAGATGGGGGGGTCGGAAGCGAGGGGTCCAGGAGGGGCGTCCACCGGGGAGGGAGGAGCCCCGAGGGGCCGGTTGGGGAGGGAGGGCACCAGGAGACCACGAAGCCAGCTCTGTGCTGGGGAACAGGAGGCTGTGAGCTCCCTGGGGACTCTGGGGCGCCAGGGCGGGGGGGGGGGCGGGGGGGCAGGGGCCACCGCCAGGTGTACGCGATGAAGTTGCCCAGATGGGTGGTTGGGGTTTCCTCAGGTGCTCTTTGGTGTCGTCGCCCGCAGAGCACCTGGGGCCATCGCGTGCCCTGCGACGTCGCACCTTGGCGCCGTCACGCGCGTCGCTGGTGTCGCAAGTTGGTGGCGTCACACATCCGCGCCACCCCAGGTCCCGCGGGCTCGCTCCCCAGGACCCTCCCCCTCATGGCTGCCCTGCTGCGTGACCCACGCATCCCGCTCGGAGCATCCCCGCCGGCGGCCCCCCGCCTGCTTCTGCTCCTGCTCCTCCTGCCTCCTGCCCAGGCTGCCCCCGGGGCCCACGGACGCCCCCTGAGCAAGGTCGTTGCCTTGAACGTGAACGTGGGTAGGACCCGTCCCGGCCCGGGGCCAAAGTCCTGGTGGCGAGCCCGGGGCTTCCTTCTCCCCGCGGTAGAGACCTGCGCCTGCCCTCCCCTGCCCTCCCCTGCCCTCCCCTGCCCTGCCGCCCTCTCCCCTCCCCTCCCCAACCCTCTCCAGTCCTCACCCTCCCCTCCTCAGCCCCTCTCCCCTCCCCTCCCCTCCCTTCTGCCTTCCCCTTTCCTGCCTCTCCCCCCTCCCCTCCCCTCCCCTCCCCTCCCCTCCTCCCCTCCCCTCCCCTTTCCGCCCCTCTCCCACACTCCTCTGCCCTCCCTTCCTCCCCCCTTTGCTGGACCTCCCCTTCCCAACACCTCCCCACTACTCTATGTCTGTGCCCTGCCCACCTTGCCACTGCTGCTCCTCACAGGCTCTGTTGCTTTCTCCTCAGCCTGTGGTCGCCGTTACATACAGGGGAAGATTGTGGGGGGCGTGGATGTCCTGGAGAGGAAGTGGCCATGGCAGGTGAGCGTGCACTACAGAGGCTTCCACGTCTGTGGAGGTTCCATCATCAGTGAGTACTGGATCCTGTCGGCAGCCCACTGCTTCGATAGGTGAGTGGGCAGGGCCAGATGCCATGTCCTTGGAGGCCCAGGGCCGCTGGATGGACCACGCAGGCTGCATCAGCTGTGACTTGTCAGAGATGGGGAAGAGAATGGGGTCCAGACATAGCTCCTTCCACTGCAGCTGCTCCTTGGATAGGGCCAAGGGCTCCTCAGGGCCATGGATTCCTTGAGATATATCATAGGACAAGAAGTAAGGAAGGACCTGCCTTAGGGGCAGCTCACCTGACAGGTTCACCATCCTGGGCTGCTGGTGACCAGCAGGTCAGGATGAGTCTCTGAATCCTCCATTGGCCTATGTCAGGACTTCTTTGGGAGCAATTCCACCAAACAACCAGGTTCTGTGTGCTGCAAGGAACTTGCTTTTCCATATCCTGGCTGAGAGCCTGGAGACTGAGGCCGCCATGCTCCAGTCCTCCCTAGGCCTGTGAATGGACAGTGCCCTTGCTTCCCACGTGCAAGATGCTCAAGTCACTGTGTCTTCGTTCTGTGTCCCCACAGGGATAAGAACATTGTGGCTTTTGACATGTATGTCGGCATGGTGGACCTCAGGTTTGCCAGCAATCACACCCAGTGGTTTGAGGTGAACAAGGTGATCGTGCACCCTACATACCAACTGTACCACCCTGTTGGAGGTGACATCGCCCTGGTGCAGCTGAAATCTCGCATTGTGTTTTCTGACTCTGTGCTCCCTGTTTGCATCGCACCCCCAGATGTGAACCTTCATAATGTTACTTGCTGGGCTACAGGATGGGGACTCATCTCCCCACAAGGTAAGAGAGTTAAGGGGTCAGTTCCTTTGTTGGAGCTTGCATAGGATGATGGCTCTATGTCACTACAGGGAAGGAAGAATTATGTCAGTTATGGGGGTGCAGGGATCTGGAGACTGGAATCCCCACCCATCAGTAACCATCAGTTTCTTTGTCAGCATGCAGTGTTGTTTTGTCCCTGGCTATCTTCATTGTACACAGAGAAGCAGTTACATTTGTTCTGAGTGTAGAATTAATATTTAGAGTACTAAGAGCACAAATTTCAAAACAGAGTTTCCTTTAAGATTCTGAATTCAAATGGGAAACCTTGTTAAACTGATTTTAAAAATCGATTTGTTATTCTAGTTCTCTACATAATGACCTCATATTTTCTTTCTAGGTTTATACCTAGTACCTTAGAATTTTTAGTTATTGAAAACGTTCTTTTTAATTGTATTTGCTGATCAGTCATAGTTGTTGATTTTTGCATATTGATCTTTGCAGCCACCTTATAGACTTCACTTTTAATAGCTTGTCAATTGATTTTTTGATTTAAAAATCATATTTCCTTCAAATAAAGACTGTTTCATCACTTCCTTTCCTATATATATATGATATATATATCATATATATATATATATAGGGTGTTATTGCAGTAGTTGAACCTCCAATTAGAAATGATGCTAGGTTTCCTTTCCTGCTTTCTATTGTAATGAAAATGCTTCTAATGATTTACTATAAGTTTGTGGCCTGGCCTGGAGACTTTAGCTTGATAGCTTATACCAGGTTAAGAAAGGTTATACCTTTCTTATATGATATCTTATATCAGGTTAATGTCTGATTTACTTAATTAAAAAATGTAATTGATGGAATGAGCACTGGGTGTTATACTATATGGTGGCAAATTGAATTTAAGTTAAAAAATGTAAATAAAAAAAGAAAAAATGTTATTGAGGTTAGGATGCTATAAATTCAAAAGAGAACTTATAAACTTCAGGATGTTTGAAATAATGTCCACAGTAACAAAGAAAATAGCTATAGAATATACACAAAATGAAATGAAGAAGGAATTTAAACATTTCACTACAGGGATCCCTGGGTGGCTCAGCAGTTTGGCACCTGCCTTTGGCCCAGGGTGCGATACTGGAGTCCCGGGATCGAGTCCCGCGTCGGGCTCCCGGCATGGAGCCTGCTTCTCCCTCCTCCTGTGTCTCTGCCTCTTTCTCTCTCTATGTCTATCATGAATAAATAAATAAATAAATAAATAAATCTTTAAAAAATAATAAAAATAAACATTTCACTACAAAAAAAATCATTTAAACACCAAAGAAGATGGAAATGCAGGAAATGAGGGACAAAAAGCTATAGTACATAAAGAAAAGAAGCAGCACCAGAAGTAACAGAAGTACGTCTCCTTATCAACGATTGCTATAAATGTAAATGGATTAAACTCTCCAATCAAAAGACAGAAATTAAAAGAAAGGATAAAAATACATGATCCAACTTTGTGATGAGACTCACTTGAGATGTAAAGGCACCAATAAGTTGAAAATGGAAGGACAGAAAAAGATGTCCATGTAAATAGTGACCAAAAGAGAACAAAGTGGCTATACGAATAATATCAGGTAAAATAGACCCTAAAACAAAAAAGATTATAAAAGACAAAAAATCACATTATGGATTAATAAAAGGTCCAATACAGCAAGAAGATATAAAAATTATAAACACACACCTAATGACAAACCATCAAAATATATGAAACAACAAATGGCAGAACTAAAAGGAGAAATACGCAGCTCCACGATAGTGGTTGGGGACTTCAGTATGCCTCTCTCAGGAATGGACTGAAGATAAGTAAGGAGATTGAGGACTTAAACAGCACAGCACACCAACCAGCTCTGACAGACATGCACAGACACCTACCCTGCAATAGCTGCACACATGTTCTCAAGTGTACTTTGGATGTTTTTTAGGATAGACCCCATGTTAGTACACAAATGAAGTCTCAGTAGATTTTAAAAGGTAGATATTATACAAAATATCTTCTCTGACCACAACAGAATAAAACAAAGATCGGGATGCCTGGGTGGTTTGGCGGTTGAGCGTTTGCCTTCAGCTTGGGTGTGGTCCTGGGGTCCTGGGGTCCCAAGATTGAGTGCCGCATCGGGCTCCCTGCATGGAGCCTGCTTCTCCCTCTGCCTCTGTCTCTGCCTCTCTTCTCTCTGTCTCTCATGAATAAATAAATAAAATATATTTTTAAAAAGGATGAAACAAATCAATAATATAAAGAAAACAGGGCACCTGGGTGGCTCAGTCAGACGCTTAACTAAGCGTCTGCCTTCAGCTCAGCCATGATCCCAGGGTCCTGGGATTGAGTCCCACATCGGGACCCCTGCTCAGCGGGAAGTCTGCTTCTCCCTCTGCCTGCCACTCCCCCTGCTTGTGCTCGCTCTATCTCTGTCTCTTTCTCCAATAAACAAATAAAACCTTCAAGAAAATAATAGAAAACAAAAACTCACAAAATCGTTGAAAGTAAATAACGCATTTAAATAACCAATGGATCAAAGGAAAAAAAATCACCAGGGAAATCATAAAATACTTGGGGATAAGAGAAAAGAAAAAGAAAAGAAAGAGAAAGGAAAGACAACATACCAAATTTAAGAGATGCAACAAAAGCAGTGCTAAGGGGAAAAACTATAGCTGTAGCATTTATTCTTTTATAAATACCTACATTTATTAAAAGAAGATATACTTCAAATAAGTAACTTGACCTTATGACTTAAGGAACTATAGAAAGAAGAACAAACTAAACCCAAAGCTAGCAGAAGGAACAAAATAACAAGAACCAGAGCACAAAAAAAAAAAAAAAAGAAATAAAGAAAGAGTCAGTGAGTCAACAGTTACATGAAAAGATCAATAAAAGTTACAAACCTTTAGCCAGGAAAAAAAAAAAAAAAAACCTTTAGCCAGACTGACTACAAAAATGAAACTGAGAACATCACTGTTGACATCATGGAAATAAAAGAGTCACAAGAGAAAACTACAGATAACTATGCCAACAAATTTGATAACCCACATGAAATAGAAAAATTCCTGGCAACACTCAAATTACCAAAACTGACTCCAGAAGAAATCAAAATACTGAATAAGTGATTCAGTATTCAAAAACGTCTCAACAATAAAAATGCAGGACAAGATGGCTTCTTCCTTGATTAATACTACCAAACATTTAAAGAAAATTAACATCAATTCTTCTCAAACTCTTTGAAAAAGAAGGGGGGACACAATTCCCCTAATTCTATGGAGCCAACACAACACTGATACCAAAGCCAGACAAGAAAGCACAAGAAAAGAAAGTTACAGACACTATCCCTCATGAACATAATGTAAAAATCCTCAACAAAACACTAGCAAACTGAATTCAACAGCACATTAAATAATGATACACTCTGATGAAGTGCTATGTGTCCCAGGAGGACAGAGGCCATTCAATGTACAAGCATTAACCAGGGTGACACACCACACTAGAAGAGTAAAGGAGGAAACCCACATGTTCATCTTGAGCAATGCGGAGAAAGCATCTGACAGGATCCACTGTCAGAAAACTAGGAATAGGGATCCCTGGGTGGCGCAGCGGTTTAGCGCCTGCCTTTAGCCCAGGGCGTGATCCTGGAGACCTGGGATCGAATCCCACGTCGGGCTCCCGGTGCATGGAGCCTGCTTCTCCCTCTGCCTGTGTCTCTGCCTCTCTCTCTCTCTCTGTGTGACTATCATAAATAAATAAAAATTTTAAAAAAAAGAAAACTAGGAATAGAGTGTATGTCCTCGGCATGACTCAGAGCATTACGAACAACCCACAGCTCACACTGTACTCAGTGGAGGAAGATGGGGCAGCTAACTGAAAACCCAGGAACAGGATAGGAATCCCACTCTCTCCACTGGTACTTTGTGTTGTACCAGAGGCTCCAGACAGTTAAATTAGGAAGAAGAAGAAGAAATAAAAGTCACCCCAGTTGGAAATGAAATAAAAGCTATCTCTCTGCACAGATGACATAATCATACATATGGAACATTCCAAAGAATCCTAAAAACACACAAAACCAATTGCTACAGACAAGAAACAGTTTCAGCAAAGATGCAGGGTACAAGATTGAACACATGGAAATCAGCTGGGTTTCTACACACCTTCAGGGAAGGATCACAAAGAGACATTAAGGATGCAATTCTGCATCATGCAAAAGAAAAGCGACCTATGCGTAAGGTCACCTGAGGAAGGGAAAGACCTGTAAGTCAAACACTACGAAACATCACCCAGAGAGATTTTTTAAAACTTCAATAAATGTTTAGGCAGCTCATGTTTGTGGGCTGGAAGAGGTCTACTGCACCAGCGTGACCTGCACATCAGTGCAACCTCCATCACAGCCACTGGCTTTTCTGCAGAAACGGAGAAGCTGACTCTCAAGTTAGTATGGAATTGGAATAGTGAGAACTGTCTTGGGAAAGAAGACCAAAGCTGGACAGATTCACACTTCCCGCTTTCAACAATGTGATTCTAACACAAGGATGTGTGAGCATGGTGGGTGGGGATGGCCATGGGTGCATGTGAGTGTGAGTACATGTGTGCACATGTGTGTGGGGTGGTGGGTATGCACATGCATGGTGTCTATGTACATGTGCACACATAAGCGTGTGCATGTGGTGGTGTGTATGTGTGTACACATTCATGTGGGTGCTGGGTGTGAATATGTGTGTACACATGTATGTGAATATATGGGCTAGTATGTGTGTGTGCACATTTGGGGGGCTGTGAATGTGTGCACATGTGTGCATGCATGTGCATGCGGGTATAGGTATGCTTATGTGTACACGTGCATGCATGTGGGCTGGTGAGTGTGAATACATGCATGTGTACATAGGAGCTGGTGTGTGTGAGTCTGCACACGTGTGTGCATGCATGCATGTGTGAGTTCATATGTAAGTGTGTGCATGCTTGTGTGTCTATTACATTTTTGTTGAATGCCAAACATTACAGGAGGACATTTAGGACTAAAGCCTGTGCGCCCCAAACTTGACCTCCACTGGTGGGACGTGGCATCATTAGTGGCCTGGAGTCTGGTAAGAAGTTTGAGCTCGCTCGTGGGCCCTCCTGGTGTTTGGCTGCTTTCATACACCAGAGGCCCAGGAGCCTCATGGGGGCTGCTGGCCAATGGGCATTCTCTGTCCCTGCTACACCTTTCCCCGCAGCAATTCTGCACACCCGCAGCACGTTCTTGCCTGGCTGCGGAGGGAAACGGCTGTTCTTGGCATTGCTGCTAGGCTGGTGTTGGGGGGGCAGGAGCCTGAGTGCCCCTGGTCCAGCCCTGGTCTCAGGACATGCCACGGGCCCCACTGGAGACAGGCCTGCACACCACCTGCCACGTCGGGGGCAGCCGCGCTCCATGCTGCATCCTGGGGCAAAAATGCCTGTTGCCCTCCAAGCCGGCAGAAGGCTCCTGTTCTGTGGGAGGAAGAAGCAGGCTGTACTTTTGTGGCTCTGTGGCAACAGCTGGCTGTCCCCTGGACCCTCACATCGAGGGGCTCTCACTCTGACCCCTCCCCTGCCTCTGCTGTTGTCTCGTGGGCTCCCAGTGGATGCTCAGGACACAGACCTACCAGTGCATACAAACCTCTCACCTGGTTTCCCAGCATTCTGAGCTAGCACCCTAGCCGCTCCTATGGAAGTCATTGGAATCGTTGTGACCTCGCCCCACACACATCTACCTTCCCGTGCACTCTACCAGAAGCAGAGCAGTTGATCCAGGCTCATCTCTCCGTCCCCTGTCCACCGGGCTCTATGGGGCGCTGGCAGCTGTGTGTGCACAATGGGGAGTGAATGCCGCCTGTGCTCTATGTGCACCATTGTCCTGGGAACTCAACATCCCAGGCCCCTGTGAGATCAGGGGGCTGTGGGGTCCATGCTGGCACCCTCTGCCCACCCCATTGGATTCTACCCTCTGCATGCATGGCTCAGGGCCCAGCAGCAGCCTGAGGGCACCGGGGCCCTCACCTCTTCTCTGGAAGGTCCTTCTTCTGGTGTCCCCCTGGGGGTCCAGCTGCCTGTGGGCCTCCTCATGCTATGGCCTGGGAAGTGTCCCTACAGAGGGATGGGGTACCCCAGGCCTTGCCTCCATTCCCCAGATTACAGCCCCACTGCCTGCTGCCCCTGTGCAGACATGTCAGCCAGTATTTGTGGCAGGAAAGAGCACACTCCCGGTTATTCCACGTGGAAAGGGGGCAGGTGTAGGCCCCAGGCAGGTGGTTAATGGGCCTGGAGGGCCAAGCGTTCCCTAGTACTCATCACAGCAGCCTCTTCCAGTAGTGCTCTCTCCACTGATAATCCATTCCCATTTGCACCATCCACCTCTCCTGAGGCTCCTCTCGTGACACCACCCTGTCAGCGCAGCCAGCAGCAACCACTAACACTGCTGGCCTCTGCTTTCTGGTGTCTCTCCTCCAGGTCCACATCCGTTAACTCCAAAACCGACTCCCTGGGAGCCCCTTGGGGAGGTGCCATGCCTTCCCCCAAATAAGCAGTCTGTGCAAACAGCTCCTGTCCAGCTGGAGCCGGGCCCAGAGCCGGGGGCTCACGTGCAAACTGGCCAGGAAAGCATGGGGTTCTGGAACCAGTGCCTGTGCCCGTCTGCTGACAGGGGCTCCTGCAGTAGCAGCGGGAGAGGATGGCTCTTTGGCTCCCATAGGAAGAATCACGTGTCACGTGTAGTCACACTCGCTGACCGACGTCTGATGCCCCAGTGCAGACAGAGCTGTGTGGAGGGCAGGAGCAAGGGAGGAGCCGCAGGGTGAGCAGAGGCGCCCTGGGGTCCTCTCACCGGGTCTACACTCCTTCCCAACAGGCTATGTCACAGACCACCTGCAGGAGGCGCAGATGCCTCTCATCTCATTGCCACTGTGCCAGCTGCTCTACGGACAACTGTCGTATATTATGTTGGACATGCTGTGTGCTGGGGACATCAGGAATGTCAAGACGGTGTGCGAGGTGCATCCCACTGAGGGGCCCTGGCTGAGCCTGGGGCTCTCAGATGTGTCTCTCCTTTGAGCCAGGGGGCACTCTGGGTGGGTGTTAGTCCCAGATGGCCCATCCCCTACAGGGCTCAGAAGCACATCACCACAAGGCCTTCAGCCAGGTGGGAGAGCCTAGGATGGCTTGTGAGGCCGCAGACAATGCCCAGTGCCCTCTGGGCCCCCATGCTGCTGGAACAGTGCAGGGCTGCACATCTGCCCAGGGGCCTCATCTGCTTTCTGTCGGCCCTGGAATGGGTGCCACCCACCCTCTGCTGGCAGGACATTCCACCTGCAGCAGAGCTTCGGTCCTGGCGAGGTGGGGCTGAGTGGGTGGGGTGCCCTGAGTCCCCTCGTAGAGGAAGCTGCAGACCCAGATGCCCCACTCACAGGAAACCCCTTTTCTCTTCCAGGGTGACTCTGGGGGTCCACTCGTCTGTGAACTCAACCGTACCTGGTTGCAGGTTGGAATAGTGAGCTGGGGCCGCGGTTGTACATACCCTATGTACCCTGCGGTTTACACTCGGGTCTCCTATTTCTCAAAATGGATCCATTATCACATAAAGAACACACCCCCACCTTCTCAGCCGCTCCCGGCCCTCTCCCCCATGCTGGGGGCCACCATCAGCATCCCTGTGACCATGCTGGCTGTCCTGTCAACCTTGTGAGGGCTGCAGCCTGCAACCTCTGCCCCCGTCCAGCTCAGCCTCTCAGGTTTCCACACACAGCTGAGCAAGGCGAGGGGCACCAGCCAGGCCCTGATATGGGGCCGGGTCTCCCCACAGAAGGGCAGAACACCTTGGCTCAGTGCTCCGGGCTGGATTCGGTAAGATATTAAAGGTTTACCAAGCGAGCATTCCAGAAATCCTGTGTCATCTGTCCACCCAGAGCACAGGATCCCTCACGGAGACAGAGCGTATCCATCAGTGCTTGGTGGCCATGTCGGGGTGAGAAGCATAGACCCAGCTGGCCATCCAGAGGGGACGGCCACACAAGTGCTGGCGTCCAGGGGCAACTAAAGCCTGGCAGATGGAGGGCCATTGTCTCACCTGGTCAGACCCGCCAATACCCAAGATTTTGTAAGTGCCTAGAATTCCACCATGAAGATTGGAAGATGTGAGCTGAAAGTGCACACACAGAAAGAACTAAGAAGATGAAAGCAAAAGTCCATGTGCCAAATGCCAGGAAAATACCAACATTCTCAAAATCTGGTTTAAAAAAATCAAAAAACAAGAAATCACTAATCTAATGAAGATATGAGACCAAAAGTACACAAGACAAGAAATGACAAGGGAAATTTATCTATTAAACACAATTTCAGAAATATTGTATATTGTATATTGTATAATTCTATGTAAATAAATGTAACATGAAGTTTCACTTTTTAGGAGAACCACCCCCACAGAGCTGGAAGGTTTACACAGGCCAGAGGCCTGAGGAGAAACGCAGACATTCCAGAAAGAACCTCTGCTCCCAGTAGAAGCCCTGGTTCAGATGGTTTCCCTGGGAGCCCGTCAACCCTTCTGCTGCAGGGCCACCCTACATGCAGCCCAGGCAGGGGCTCCCACATTCACACCAGCGGCATGTGTGTGAACACATCTGACACCCACAAGCACCCAATGTGCAGAAACCCCGGTGAAGGACTGGCAGACAGAATCCAAACTTCTCTTAAGATAGCATCTGTAATGCAGTGAAACACCGGGACACATGCACCCCAATGTTTATAGCAACAATGTCCGCAATAGCCAAACTGTTGAAGGAGCCTCAGTTTCCATCAAAAGATGAATGGATAAAGAAGATGTGGTTTATGTATACAATGGAATATTACTCAGCCATTAGAAACGACAAATACCCACCATCATAGTTAGAACTGGAGGGTATTATGATGAGTGAAGTAAGTCAACCAGAGAAGGACAAACATTATATGGTCTCATTCATTTGGGGAATATAAATAATAGTGAAAGGGAATAAAGGGGAAGGGAAAGAAAATGAGTGGGAAATATCAGTGAGGGTGACAAAACATGGGAGACTACTAACTCTGGAAAACAAATGGGGTGGTGGAGGGGGGAGGTGGGTGGAGGGACGGGATGACTGGGTGACCGGCACTGGGGATGGCACTTGATGGGATGAGCACTGGGTGTTGTGCTATATGTTGGCAAATTGAACTCCAATAAAAACATATACAAATAGTTGGCTGTGAAAAAAAATTTTAAATAGTTGCTGTGGCCATGTTCAAAAAGGGTGTTGCTTGTGTTCTCCTCTAGGATTTTGATGGAATCTTGTCTCACATTTAGATCTTTCATCCATCTTGAGTTTATCTTTGTGTATGGTGCAAGAGAGTGGTCTAGTTTCATTCTTCTGCATGTGGATGTCCAATTTTCCCAGCACCATTAATTGAAGAGACTGTCTTTTTTCCAGTGGATAGTCTTTTCTGCTTTGTCGAATATTAGTTGACCATAAACTTGAGGGTCCACTTCTGGATTCTCCTGGATTCTCTTCATAGATCCTGTTCCATTGATCTATGTGTCTGTTTTTGTGCCAGTACCACACTGTCTTGATGACCACAGCTTTGTAGTACAACCTGAAATCTGGCATTGTGAGGCCCCCAGCTATGGTTTTCTTTTTTAATATTCCCCTGGCTATTCGGGGTCTTTTCTGATTCCACACAAATCTTAAAATAATTTGTTCCAACTCTCTGAAGAAAGTCCATGGTATTTTGATAGGGATTGCATTAAATGTGTAAAGTGCCCAGGGTAACACTGACATTTTCAAAATATTAATTCTTCCATACATGAGCATGAAATATTTTTCCATCTCTTTGTGTCTTCCTCAATTGCTTTCCGAAGTGTTCTGTAGTTTTTGGGGATAGATCTTTTACCTCTTTGGTTAGGTTTATTCCTAGGTATCTTATGCTTTTGGGTGCAATTGTAAATGGGATTGACTCCTTAATTTCTCTTTCTTCAGTCTCATTGTTAGTGTCTAGAAATGCCACTGACTTCTGGGCATTGATTTTGTATCCTGCCACACTGCCAAATTGCTGTACGAATTCTAGCAATCTTGGGGTGGAGTCTATGTAAAGTATCATGTCATTGGCGAAGAGGGAGAGTTTGACTTCTTCTTTGCCAATTTGAATGCCTTTAATGTCTTTTTGTTGTCTGATTGCTGAGGCTAGGACTTCCAGTACTATGTTGAATAGCAGTGGTGAGAGTGGACATCCCTGTCTTGTTCCTGATCCCAGTGTTTCCCCATTGAGAATGATATTTGTTGTGGGCTTTTCATAGGTGGCTTTCAAAATGCTGAGGAATGTTCCCTCTATCCCTACACTGAAGAGTTTTGATCAGGAATGGATGCTGTATTTCGTCAAATGCTTTCTCTGCATCTATTGAGAGGATCCTATGGTTGTTGTTTTTTGTCTTGTTGATATGATCTATCACATTGATTGTTTTACAAGGGTTGAACCAGCCTTGCATCCCAGGGATAAATCCCACTGGATCATGGTGAATAATCTTCTTAATGTATTGTTGGAGCCTATTGGCTATATCTTGTTGAGAATTTTTACATCTGTGTTCATCAGGGATATTGGTCTATAATTCTCCTTTTTGGTGGGGTCTTTTTCTGGTTTTGGAATTAAGGTGATGCTGGCCTCATAAAATGAATTTGGAAGTACTCCATCCCTTTCTATCTTTCCAAACAGCGTTAGTAGAAGAAGTATTATGGTTTCTCCTTTAGACGTTTGATATAATTCCCCTGAGAAGCCATCTGGCCCTGGACTTTTGTGTCTTGGGAAGTTTTGGATGACTGCTTCAATTTCCTCCCTGGTTATCGGCCTGTTCAGGTTTTCTATTTTTCCTGCTCCACTTTTGGTAGTTTGTGGTTTTCCAGAACTGCGTCCTTTTCTTCTATATTGCCTAAATTATTGGCCAATAGCTGCTCATAATAAATTTTTAAAATTGTTTGTATTTCCTCGGTATTGTTGGTGATATCTCCTTTCTCATTCATGATTTTATTAATTTGAGTCTTTCTATCTTCTTTTTAATAAGGCTGGCTAATGGTTTTTTTTTAATATTATTTATTTATTCATCAGACACACACACAGAAAGAGAGAGAGAATGAGAGAGAGAGAGAGAGATACAGGCAGAGGGAGAAGCAGGCTCCATGCAGGGAGCCTGACGCAGGACTCAACCCTGGGTCTCCAGGATCAAGCCCTGGGCTGGAGGCGATACTAAACCACTGAGCCAACCGGGCTGCCCCAGGCTGGCAAAGGCTTATCTATCTTATTAAATCTTTCAAAGAACCAACTCCTGGTTCTCGTAAGATACATCCATGAATGCAAGAGAAACAAAAGCAAAAATGAATTATTGGTACTTCATCAAGATAAAAAGCTTCTGCACAGCAAAAGATACACTCAACAAACTGAAAGACAACCTACAGAATGGGAGAAGATATTTGCAAATGACCTATCAGATAAAGGGCTAGTATCCAAGATCTATAAAGAACTTATTAAAGTCAACAGCAAAGAAACAAACAATCCAATCATGAAATGGGCAAAAGACATGAAGAGAAATCTCAGAGGAAGACATAGACATGGCCAACAAGCACATGAGAAAATGCTCCGCATCACTGGCCATCAGGGAAATACAAACCAAAACCACAATGAGATACCACCTCACACCAGTGAGAATGGGGAAAATTAACAAGGCAGGAAACAACAAATGTTGGAGATGATGTGGAGAAAGGGGAACACTCCTGCACTGTTGGTGGGAATATGAACTGGTGCAGCCACTCTGGAAAACTGTGTGGAGGTTCCTCAAAGAGTTAAAAATTGACCTGCCCTACGACCCAGCATTTGCACTGCTGGGGATTTACCCCCAAGATACAGATGCAGTGAAACACCGGGATACCTGCACCCCGATGTCTCTAGCAGCCATGTCCACAATAGCCAAACTGTGGAAGGAGCCCCGGTGTCCACTGAAAAATGAATGGATAAAGAAGATGTGATTTAAGTACAATGGAATATTACTCAGCCATTAGAAATGACAAATACCCACCATTTGCTTCAACGTGGATGGAACTGGAGAGTATTATGCTGAGTGAAATAAGTCAATCGGAGAAGGACAAACATTATATGGTCTCATTCATTTGGGGAATATAAATAATAGTGAAAGGGAATAGAAGGGAAGGGAGAAGATATGGGTAGGAAATATCAGACGGGGAGACAGAACATGAGGACTCCTAACTCTGGGAAATGAACTAGGGGTGGTGTAAGGGGAGGAGGGGAGGTGGGGGTGAATGGGTGACGGGCACTGAGGGGGGGCACTTGACGGGATGAGCACTGGTTGTTATTCTGTATGTTGGCCAATTGAACTCCAATAAAATATATATATTTTTAAGAGGGAAATTCGTCACAATACAAACATCCCTCAAAAATATTGGAAAAAAACTCAAATACACAAGCTAATCTCGCACCTAAAGGAATTGGAGAAAGAACAACAAATAAAACCTACACCAAGCAGAAGAGAGATAATAAAGATTGCAGCAGAACTCAATGAAATAGAGACCAGAAGAACTGTAGAACAGATCAACAAACCCCGGAGTTGGTTCTTTGAAAGAATTAATAAGATAGATAAACCCCCTAGTCAGCTTTATTAAAAAGAAAAAAAAGACTCAA